AACAAACCATACATCAATGGAAATCTTATTTATTCAGCTTTCAGATGATGTATAAACCTCAATTTAAAAAAATTGACCCTTATGATTATTAGTAATAGAAAGGCAAGCATAATACTTTCTCGTTTACCATCAGCATTCAGCAAATAGGCATTTATATCATTTAAACAGATCTTTGAATGTCTAATAAACATTTAATTTTACAAACCTTGCAGACTAGTCGGATCCAGCTGTAAGATCTTATGAGGTGTGCATTTGTATCCTGCATGATCGCGTGTTCTCTGCTTGGCGATCGGTCCATGCGAATTGAATGCTGACAGGAGGAGAGTTGGTTACAGTGTTTACTTCCTTTTTATTTATATATATATATATATATATATTATTATTATTTATTTCTTTTTTATATATATTTCTTTATTTGTGTAAAAATACTGTAATAGGATAAGAGAATCCTAGTTGTCATCTAAAGTATGTTTATTTTACGCATTTATAATTTTCAAATTTAAAAGATATCGGCATCGGCATCAGCTGTCAAAAAACAATATCAGTCGACCACTAGTTGAATTTAGGTTAAGAATTTAACTAGTTATTTAAGAGTGCGAAATAATTCAATTAAAGGTACATTTCATTATTTTGTTCAAGTACCCCCTCTGTCACTTCGAACCCCAGTTTGAGAGCCACTGACATACACTTAACACAGGCCATTTATAGATATTAGAGTTTATACAGAAGAAATCATTTGGTTTTTATGTAATATGGATGTTTTTTTTTTATATCAAATGAAGACCTCAGGATATTTAAGATCAGTTCATACTTTGAGATGCATTTTGTTAATTTATATAAAAGTTGAAATATGTCAAAATTCCACAAACCACAATTTAAAGGGATCATATGATGCTGCTAAAAAGAACATAATTTTGTGTATTTGGTGTAATGAAATGTGTTTATGCGGTTTAAGGTTAAAAAAACGCATTATTTTCCACATACTGTACATTATTGTTTCTCCTCTATGCCCCGCCTTTCTGAAACACGTCGATTTTTAAAAAATCTATCAAAACCGAGGTGTACTGTGATTGGCCAGCTATCCACTGCGTTGTGATTGGCCGAATACCTCAAGCGTGTGACGGAAATGTTAAGCCCCTCACCATACTGTGATGCCCTGTCCGGCCGGAGCGACGAGGCAATACCAATAAAACCCATTATAAACGAGGCATTTGTTGCATCCAGTGGGGACATAATTATGGATTATAATGACGTTACGCCTTCTTTCTTTGCGTGAACATTTGGGCGGCGTTATGCAAATCTTCCCACATAGTGACGTAGGTAGAATGTTAGAATGAGCCGTTTTAGGTAGGTGTGGCTGACTCTTAACTTTTATAAAGAATATCTCTTTGGATTTGAGACTTTAGTCTTTGCAACTTTACAGATCTTCTTTATGCACAAAGATCTTGTAACACTCCAAAGAGAAAGGAAAAATTGAAATCGCATCATATGACCCCTTTAATATGTAACTAATGTAAGTGTTACTTTTTAAAAATATATTTATTGTATAGGGGCAGTACAAAAATATGATTTCAGCACAAAACTAAAAAAGATGCATTGCACATAGAGAATATAACACATAGTTTTCATCGTCATTCCAATTTCCTTAAAACTTGAAGATTTGAATTGTAATAAAACCAGTCTTTCTCATAAGTGCTACTTTTAAGCACAAGTGAAGGTCTGATAATATTTTTAATGTTTTCTTTTTATTATCGTAGGGTGCCCACCTCAGTGGAAGAGCTTCAGAGACAAATGTTACTACTTCTCATCAGAGAGTCTGAACTTTGATGAAACGAAGGAAAAATGCAGCAACAAGAGTTCAACTATGCTGATTATCAGTGATGAAGACGAGCAGGTAAATCCTGGATACTATTCTCAAATATGGAATGCGTCTTAAATAAACAGAATTAACTATATTAAAACATCTTGCAGTGTGTCGTCACCGATAGCCTTGTGGGCAGCTTGCAGTGTTAGAACTCTTGAGTTTTAAACCCAACATTACGCTATAAATGTTACACAATGCCTACTTTATTATCTATCACAGCTATGGATAAAGAGGCAGATTTCTGGAAAGGGCTACTTTTGGCTGGGCCTCACTGACAGCGCTGATGAAAGCATCTGGAGATGGGTGGACGGTAGCCTGCCCAACTATACGTGAGTGAATAACTGAAATAAAATACATTAATAAAATTATTGTTACTCCGCTGTGTATATAATGCATATCCAGTGTATAACATTTGTTCCATTATCTTGAGGATCCTCAGTAATATAACGAGGAGATGGCAGTGTGAGGAAACATTCCCCATTAGTCTTTTAATTTTAATTTTTTAATTTTAATTGAAAGGAAATGGAAGCCTGGACAGCCTGATAACTGGAGCCATGGTCACGAGGCTGGAGAGGACTGTGCAGGGTTAATACACGAGGCCAGTTGGAATTACTTTTTCTGCACAGAACGCATTGGTTTCATTTGTGAACGAACGAATGAATGTAAGTTACAGTTCTTGTTTCTTGCATACATTTTTAGCTTCTTTTGTTTGAAAAGAGTTATCTGCTTGCTGTGCTTGAGTTCATTCTTTTCTCCATTATTCACAGCCAAAGTTCCAGTTTTATAGCACCTGTTGTGAATGAACAGAGAATATTGGATAAGACAATCACAGAGACAGTTCAGAAGACTTCTGTCACAGTATCCTCTCATAAAGCACGAACAATTGCTTTACCCAGAGAGCCACATGTGTGACGGACACAAAAGTAAGACAGTTCAGAAGACTTCTGTCACAGTATCCTCTCATAAAGCACGAATAATTGCTTTACCCAGAGAGCCACATGTGTGACGGACACAAAAGTAAATGTCATCGACAATCACGAACGATTCAAGACTGCAAACTATACAATACACTGATCACCAGTCACGTTAATGTTTAGATAAGTGAAAACGCTGTAATGTATTGTAATCATGTGATTGTAAATACCTGTTTTACCTGTGTCATTAACAAAGCTGATGCCACATTATTCCAGTGCAATACAATGAAGCTTTGTAGCTGCTTTAATTAAAATAAAGCTTTTAACAGCCAACCGTAAAGCTACAATTAATATGTTGATATGTTTTAATGACTATAATCCAAAATTTGTTCACACCAGAGTTTTGCATCTTGGACATCATTAATGTGATTTTATGAATAAATCTTTAAAGTTTTGAATTTTTCAAATATTTGATTATGCAGTAGCTATATAAAATAGTTGTGTATTTGAATACATGTACATGTATGTAGTTATCATCAAAGACCATGTTTTTATCTGAAATAAAATATAGTTGGTATTTTTCAATATGCTTTGTTGAAATCCTTTTGATTAATGCTTCATTGTGGAATGTCCTACATGTAACACAATAATGCTGCTTTAATTAGAATGACTTGCCAGTATGTATTTGTCTGTTGATTGGCTTTTGCAACTATGTACAGTACTTGTCAAAAATACTGTATATGCATTATGATACATTATGATTTTTTTAAATGTTTAAAAAAGTTTCTTATGCTCACCAAGGCTGCATTTATTTGATCAAAAATACAGTAAAAACAGCAATGTTATGAAATATTTTTACAATTTGAAATAACTGCTTCCTATTTTAATTTATTTTTAAATGTAATTTATTCTTTTGATGCAAAGGGTCGCTTTAGAAATCTTTCTAATATGCTGATTTGGTGCTCAAGAAACATTTATTATTATATATTACATTTATTTATAAACATTATTATTTTGTTATTATTACAGGAATAAATAACATTGAAAAATGTACTATATATTAAATATAATAATATTATAAATGTATTATAAATATACAATATATTTAAAATATACTATAATTATATCTTACTATAAATATACTATATATTAAAATAAGAAAATAGTATTTTAAATTAATAATATTTCACAATATTTCTGTTTTAAGTTGTATTTTGGTCAAATAAGCCTTGCATATTTTGTAAATAAATTATAACACATTTTAACATAATTTACATCATATACATATTAAATATGTAGGCTATATATTTAAATTTTAAATTTTATAACGTATGCCTGCCTAACATATATGGAAAATCCCCTCGTCAGGTAGGTCATTGTAATTTTGTGTTTACTTGTTTATTTATTGACTATTATTTACTTGTTCACCCAAAAACATTGTCAAAATATGATGATTTCAGAATTTATGAATTATCCTCTTTTTTTTAACCAACATACAAAACCACTGCTAGAGAAAACACATTTGTCATTGCAATTTTTCCTCTTAAACTCTTATATAGCTCTTGACAACTGGTCTGCCCTATCATTAAATGTCACAATTTAATATTTTAACTAAGCGTCCAATAATACAAAAAAATAAAACAAATAAATGTTCACATCATCTCGTGACTGCTGAGTCAGATAGGGTCTACCATGTGATTGTCATATGATTTATTAGCCTAGCTGTCTTTTCCCTAACCTTTACAAAGTCATCATTTACACTATCCGATTAACAGATTCCAGTGTCGAATAACAACCATCTCGTTCACATCCCGCTCATATTTATTTGGATATGCCCAGCTGTTTGTGAGTTTTAACTGTGTGGTATGTGCACACTCCAGCAATAGCTCAGTTACCCAGAATGCACCGCAGTAGAGCTGCGAGTAAGTGACTGAGGAGGGGATCCCATCAGCAACACTAAGTGTAGTTTCTATTTTATTATGTTTATTAATTCACTTTTAACCAAGTGCTGACAGGGAGACGAACAAGAAGAGGATCGAGCTTAGATTTCGTCGCGTGTATATCTCGGCCATGCCTCTCTTCACGGCAAATCCCTTTGATCAAGATGTTGGTAAGTTTGAGATGTCATGCAGTTAGCAGGCGAGCTAACGGGAGCTCATCTGTGTCCATTGTTGTTCATAGCAACCCACCGGCTTTTTGTTTCTTTTCGATATCACTATAACTATTTATGTGAATTTCGCAATGGCATACCATTGAGTTAATAATTCCCATTAGTGGTTTTAACCCGAAACTTTTAACGTAGGCATTAATGACAACAGTTTCACAGCTAGAGAGCTTAACATGTTATTAGCTTGATGGCTAGCCAAGTTTGTAGCTAAAGAAGCTGTGACTGACTGTTAGCGAGCGAAATCTCATTTTCTATATTTGTGTGGCACTGACAGTGCACTATTGAGTAAAAACAGACGCTTTGCAGTCCACTTCAGATGATTTGAGCCATCGCACTCTTAATGGTTTAATTTATCCTCGCCCGGAGCTGACGGTTCACACGGTGACGCTGCAAATGTCCCCAGCTGCTCCTTTTATATATTATTAGCCGTGTTTGTTTTGCTGACTGATGTTATTCCAACTGCACGACGGTATACTTTATAATAGGCCTTTATTAAGATTACAGTGTTGTGTTGTCTATATCATTATTGTATTATGAGCCTGCTGATAATAGTTTTGCTGGGGCAACCAGCCTGTGCGGGTATAATATAAATGCACGCATTTTAGGAAGTGCGTGAAATTTAGCTTAAGGTTTAGTTTGAACATTTTTGAACATATGAGTTGATCTGAATATGTTCAGACGTTGCAGATGTGGGGAATGTCAGAAATTGGCAGTGACTGCTGGAGTGATGTACAGTAGCTGCAGATGTCATTGTTTGAGCTGGTCTGATGGCATAGAAGAAATGTCTGTGTAGAATTAGTCTCCTAGCCGGTTTTGTTTATTATAAATGTTTTGTAGGGGTGTTTCTGTACTAGAACACTGCCAGTGTGTTTTTGTTTTGGCTGACCTCTGTCCTCTATTTGACAGCTTGCTAGATTGACAAACAGAATCTCACCACAAATGTAGGTCATTGGCGTTCTGTCATAAATTAACTTTTTTGTTGTTGTGGGAAATATTTGCTGCCTGGGCTGGAATTGATTTTTATGGGGCTTTAAACAATTATGGCTGTTGATTGTAAATTTGAATGCACATCAAAGTAAAATAATAAAAGTTGCTGTAAATAGAGATTCATAAAAAAAATATTGTGGCATGATTAACATTCTGGTTGAATAAATTAACATAGAGGTTTCTAAGCAAAGCCACATTCTTAAATGTAATGGAAACACATATCTGGCATATACACTACCATTCAAAAGTTTGGGGTCAGTAAGATTTTTTTTTAATTAATACTTTTATTCAGCAAGGATGAATTAAATTGATTGAAAAATGACAGTAAATACATATAATGTTACAAATGATTTGTATTTCAAAAATTCTTTTGAACTTTGACTTTGTATCACAGTTCCCACAAAATATTAAAAATCCCTTTCATTATTGATAATAAGAAATGTTTCTTGAGCACAAAATTGAAATGTTTTTATTTAATTTTTTACTGTAATTTTGTTAAATACATAAATTCAGCCTTGATGATAATGAGAGACTTTCAAAACATGAAAAAAGTCTTACCAACCCTAAATTTTATAGATATATCCTAATTATAACCCATTTTTATAACCCATTATTATTACCATATAACTTGGGGCTTTTTTTGCCCTCACATTTAAAATATCTGGGCTTTTTTGTTTTTGCCCCTTTCGGTGGCATTTTTTTTCTTAGGCACTGGCTAATTTCGGACTCTGGTTTCTATGATTAGGTGTAACAGAGCCTGTGGCCTTTCACAGATACACATTCATTCATTTGCAAATGAATGTTATGCCACTGAATCACAGGAATCAAAATCACAGGAAACGTTTATCATTATGATGGATAAACATTTGAGTAACTTCTTTTGCAGAGAAAGCGACAAGTGAGATGAACACAGCTGAGGACTGGGGCCTCATTTTGGACATTTGTGACAAGATTGGACAGTCTCGCACTGGGTTAGTGAATGAGCATTCTGGATTTTTTAAGAGTGTCTTTTAGATTAATGGGTGTTTAAAAGGTTAAACGTTATTGCTTGTCTTCTGAAGGCCTAAAGAATGTCTGCGATCTATAATGAGGAGAGTGAATCACAAGGATCCGCATGTTGCCATGCAAGCATTGACGGTAAGGCAAATGATTCTTAATGCTTTCTACTGGATGCTTCAATCTCAAGTATGCAAACATCAGAAGCCATTAATGAGCTATCGAGAATCAGATGAGTGTTTTCTCCTCCATAGCTACTAGGCGCATGTGTGTCAAACTGTGGAAAAATATTCCATTTAGAGGTTTGCTCCAGGGAATTTGCTAGTGAAGTTAGCAACGTGTTAAATAAGGTATGTTTTTCATTTTGTCTGTAGAAAAATACTGCATGCTTCAATTGTTTAGTCCAGCAGTAAAAGATTGACGTTTTGTCTTTTCTTCTCAAGGGTCACCCAAAAGTGTGTGAGAAACTGAAGGCTCTGATGGTGGAATGGGCCGAGGATTTCCGTAATGACCCCCAGCTCAGCCTCATATCGGCCATGATCAAGAACCTCCGAGAACAGGGCGTCATCTTCCCTGCCGTGGGCTCTCAGGTGAGCAGCCCAATCCAGCTCCCCACTGCACAGATCTGCCTGTTCACTGGATTCTCTAAGATGCTGTAGTTATTTATATAATAAGTATGTAGGGAATTAAATGTGTGTCAAGAGTGCAGTTTCAGTTTAAAGGCCAAATCTCAGACTTAAGCACATAAAACATGCACAACATGATATTAAAGGAAATGTTTAAAAGAAAGCAATCTAACTGCCTCACGTTGAGTTCAAAAGTTTGGGGTCAGTAAGATTTCTTTTTAGTTTATTCCTTTTTTTTATAGTAATAGTAAATAAAATTAATACTTATATATAGCAAAGATGCATTCAGTTGATCAAAAGTAAGAGTAAAGACATTTATAATGTTATAAAATATATTTATATTTCAAATAAATGATGTTCAAAATAACGATATCAAATAAATGTTTGAACATTCTTCTGATAAAATAATCCTAAAAAAATAGATCATGGTTTACACAAAAATCTTAAGCAAAAGTAGCTTTGTCATCACACGAATAAATTACATCATAAAATAAAATAATATCAAATATGGTAACACTTTAGTATAGGAACCAATTATCTCTATTAACTAGTTGCTTATTAGCATGTCTATTATTAACATATTGGCTGTTTATTAGTACTTATAAAGCACATATTCTGCATGGCCATATTCTACATCCCTAATCCCCAATACCTAAACTTAGCAACTACCTTACTCACTATTAATAAGCAGCAAATTAGGAGTTTAATGAGGTAAAAGTCATAGTTAATGGTTTGTTAATAGTGAGAATTGGACCTTAAAATAAAGTGTGACCTAAAATATATTTAAGTAGATAACTGTAATTTTAAGATATAATATGTCATAATATTACTGTTTTACTGTTATATTATATAAATGCTTCATAAGCATGATTTCTGTTAAAATTTTTTGAAAAATCTTACTGACCCCAAACTTTTGAACGGATATATATATATTCTTATCATTTTATTCTTTCATTCTCTCTTTTTCAATTTGCTTTTCATTTCCTTTTTTCCATTATATTATATGCAGACTGTATAATATATTGAGTGTTGAATAGCCTATATGTTAACTTGTGTTGTTCTGTTGTGTGACTGTTTTATAAGGAGAAAATATGTGTATGATATTAAGTAATGAGATGTTTAACTTTATTTGTTCAGGCAGCAGAACAAGCTAAAGCCAGTCCTGCACTGGTAGCTAAAGACCCTGCAACATCAACAAAAAAGAAAGAAGAAGAAGACATTGCTAAAGGTGGGTGCAAATCTGTAATGCTAAGGTCTACAATGAATTGTCTTGAAGAAAGAGAGGTAATCTCTGTCTGTCTCTCTCTGTCCCTTTCTCAGCGATCGAACTGTCTCTGAAGGACCAGCGGCAACAGCAGCAGCCTCAGGTCTCTCTGTCTGGCCTCTACCCGAGCACCAGCAGCCTCCTCACATCTCACAAGGCTGAAGGCAGAAAGGTCAGGGCCATCTATGACTTTGAGGCAGCCGAGGACAATGAGCTCACCTTTAAATCAGGCGAGATCATCACCATCCTGGATGACAGGTGAGTTTGGTTCTGTTCATTGATGGTCACAATGAATTTCACTCACAGGCTGTGTTTGAAATCATTTCCTTCGTATGATATTCACTACACATTGGTGATTTTTGTTCTGTTTGGATGGCTTGTTTCCACTTTGGTCAGTTTGATCAATTCAGCTGATTTTGGTTGCTAAGCTACAAGCACATGATGGCTATGAAACAGAAGTTGTGTGAGGCAGTTAGTAGACATTCAGATCTCTGTAGAGATTGAATGAATGATTCCAAACACAGCCAAAGAGTTTTTTTTTTTTTTAAATGACAGTTAGCGGGAGGTGGCTTAAGCATCTCTTCTCTCACAGTGACCCTAATTGGTGGAAGGGTGAGACGTATCAGGGTGTTGGGCTTTTTCCGTCAAACTTTGTGACAGCGGACTTGACAGCAGAGCCCGAGATGAGTAAGTAAAGCTGTCATATCTACACTTTTCCAGCTGACGGTCTGCATTCCCTTAAAGTCTCTTCCTGTTTCACAATATGTTATAGTTTTTCTCTTTTCACTCTACCATCCCATTCGTATTTTTTATTTCAAACATGGTAATAATAAATGTAACTTGAGCAGTAAATCAGCATATTGGATTGATTTCTGAAGGATCTTGTGACACTGAAGACTGGAGTAATGACTGATGAAAATGTAGCTTTGCCATCACAGGAATAAATTGCATTTTAAAGTATATTAAAATAGAAAAGCGTTATTTTGAATTTGAATAATTATTTACAATATTAATGCCTTTGCTGTATTTTTGATCAAATAAATGCAGCCTTGGTGAGCATAGGAAACTGTCATTAAAAAAATAAATAAAAAAACACCTTTTGAACAGTAGCGTATATTAGTCATTCGGTATTTCAGTACAATGAAAAACTGTACCTACATTGGAGTCCAAAGACATCAGAGACCAGAAATGTCAATATTTTATATGTCATTCTTTTGCTTTATCATACCAGCATGATTGAAGAATGATCCAAAGAGCATCTTGAGCTGCTTTAGAAAAACCAAAATCTTCCAAATGTCAGTTTTTGTTCATTTTCAGGATTCAATTATTTTGAATCCCATATTTTCAATGTGGAGCCCAGTGTGCATTGTCACAACTTTTGGATTTCTGTTCTCTGCTTATTACATTATTATATCATCTTTAATACTTTTCTTTCCTTAGTGAAAACAGAGAAGAAGACAGTGCAGTTCAGTGAAGACGTCCAGGTAGAGACGATTGAACCGGAGCCAGAGCCTGTCTACATCGATGAGGTGAAGCTGCATATTTCTCACAGTATTTGGCACTGTATATCTCTCATACACACCCCTTACAACTACGAAGCACATGAAATTGCATAGTGAAATGAATGATCCACTATTCACTCTTTCCCTTCAAAGACGTCTGATGCTCTCGATGGAGAACTGTGTTAGAATTAGTCATAGCAGCTCTCAAGGAAGTGTCATGTAGTCTTGTTTGTAATGTCTTTGCAATGTTCTGCAGGAGAAAATGGACCAGCTGCTTCAGATTATCCAGAGTGCAGATCCAACAGATGACCAGTCAGACACCTGTGAACTCCTGCAGTTGGAGGGTGAGTCTAAAACCGGATCCGTATTTTGGTTCTGTGTTGAAAAGATTGATTCACTGATTCATAGTGGTTCCTCTTCTTCCAATTAGCTGCTTGCAACCAGATGGGTCCTCTCATTGATCAGCAGTTGGAGGACATTGACAGGTATTCAAAAAGTCCCATCTAAAACTAATTCAATGCAAATCCATCCTTCCATAAATCTAGCAAAGCCTGTAAACAAACCTCCAATTAGTTTTAGTGAATGAAATCCAATGAGACAAATGCCCACGTCATTCCTCATAGATCTCATGTGTAATAAATCTGCCGTGTTTGTTTTCAGAAAACACTCGGAGCTGTCCGAACTGAACGTGAAGGTCATGGAAGCGCTGTCTCTCTATGCTAAGATAATGAATGAAGACCCAGTATACGCTATGTATGCCAAACTACAGAGCCAGCAATACTACATGCAGCAGACCCCAAACGCTTCCCAACAGGTGAGAGTCTGACAAATGATCAAAGTGTGTATGTTGTTCGTTTGCTACATATGATTTAAACTGCTATTATGGCTGTTGTTGATTGTTTTGGTAGTGATATATTATTAGGGTATGTCTCCGTTTTATTTTCAGGTGTACCCTGGCCAGTCCACTGGAGGGCAGTATGCAATGGGCAGCACAGCAGTACCGGGATACAACGTTCCAATGGAGCAGCTCTCTGCAATGAACCAAACAGGAGCACCAATGGCTCCCAGGTAATCACACTTTACTATAATGCACAAATAAAATAAGTTTAGTATATTTAAAAAAAATGTGCATGATTTTTATTATTATCAGTATTATTAGTAGTAGTAGTATTATTAGTTATTATTATTTAAAAAAAAAAGCTATATCAATGAATTAATAAAAATATAATTTATTATAAGCAATTCATTACTTAAATTATTGATAATGAATAAAACACTTGTTTTGTAGTTGTATCAGTTAATTGATAATGATAATATTGATGATAATAATAATAAATCAAACAAGTTATCAATTCCTTAAAAATAATAATGTTGTTGTTGTTGTTATTTTTTAAACATATTTCTATTGTAAAAAAGATATAGAAGATAGCATGAAAATATTCATAAAAAAATACATCATATACACACACATCATATATATATCTTAACTCCCCACCCCCCAAAGCATCCAAAAATTCAATTATAAAGTTAAAGAAGTTGTTATACAAAGGCTAAGACAGACATATCCACATATTTTCAAATACAATAGTGCATATATACGCATATCAATCAGTAGAGTGAGAGGTATATATTGCTTGTGACAATATTTGGTTATTTTCCAGAAACTGTATAAACAGATCCCAGATTTTATGGTAGTCCTTTAGTTTGTTTTTTATATTGAAGGTTATTCTTTCCAATACAATATAATGTGTCAAATCTTTCAACCAATGGTCATGGATGGATGGATCCAACGGATGGTCCTTCTATGTTGTTGTTGTTATTATTATTATTATTAAGTTTATTATTTTGTATATTTTATAAAATATGTAATTTATTATTATTATTATATTATTATTATTATTATATAAAATGTCATAATAATAATAATAAATTAAACAAGTTATATCAATTCCTTAATAATAATAATAATAATGTTGTTGTTATCATTATTATTAAATAAATTATTAAATATTAGCAATGCATTAATAATAATATTATTATTAGATGTATTATTGTATATCAAATAATAATAATTTATTATTATGTTATTGTTATTACATTTAAAACAATAAAAAATAAAAAAGTATTGATGCCATAATATTGTTTTAGTATAATTATACGTTTAAGTTAACGATAATAAAAAATAAGCAGTTTGCATTAATAATAATAATAATAATGTTTGTATGATTAGATAAAATATTTAATAATAATATTCAAATAAAAATAAGGCTTTATAATTAATTTAAAGAATAACTATTATTATTGTTATTATTAATGCATTACTGGTGGTGATGATAATGATAATTAATAGTATAATATTTGTATCATGTTTAAATAAATGGATTTATTATTTGATCTGTTTCTCAGTGATGTCCATATGTACATGGGCCAGCCTCCAGTCTACAGCCCGACCCCTAGCAGCATGCCTCCAGCTGATGTCCAGTCCTACCAGACCCCAGCCGGCGCTCCAGTGGCCATGAGCCAGACCCCCGGCTACACCGTGCCCTCCACCCAGAGCCTCCCTACTACTGCAGACAACCAACAGACCCCTTACCCTCAGAAAGCCCTCTTATAGGACCCCTAAAGACTCATACAAACACACACAGTTACAGTCAGAAACAAGGAACATTCAGCTCACAAAGATATCTCCTACTTTTCTTTAAGACACTACAAACAAACACTGATTCTGATCACGACAGGATGTACCGATTGTTGACTACTAACCAGTGGTGTTCTTACAGAGCGGTTCAGATCCATCTTATACTTCTTTGGTCTCTTTTATAAGAACATTTTGTTGAAGGTGATGAGGAACGCTATGTTATACGGTTTATTTGGCAGCATCATTATAGGAATAATTAACTGGACGTTTCTTACAGGAACACACACAGCATGCTTGTGTTGTACATATGTTTCCGTACCAATGTAGGTCCCGGTAGTCCAGTGTTTGTCACAACAGGTCCTGAAGGGGAGGTTCCGTCATCATTTTAATTTCTCATCACTATGAGTGTGTGTGTGTGTGTGTGTGTGTGCGCGAGAGAGAGCATGTTCCGGCCATAGCTACTGAAAATTCAGCTTTGTCATAATAAACTACATTTTTATATATATTAAAATAGAAAACAATTTGTTTCTATTAACTTATTTTAAAAATTAAAAATCATACTGACTCCCAACTTTTGAATGGTAGTGTACGTCTTGCAATTTGTTGAGAAAAAAAACGTGCTCACACACATACAAACAATACGATGTTCATTTAGTAAATTTATCTTTCTTTAAGGGAGTCTTACTAAAAAATAAAGATACCAGATAAAAATACTTTTTTTTTTTTTGCAGTTTACAAGCCTCACCAGAACACTATAAGGCAAGAAAAATACAATTACTTACGTTTTCCTGTTTTGTGCTATGTGTGTGTGTGTGTGTGTGTGCGCGAGAGAGAGCATGTTCAGGCCCTCAAGTCATCTCGCCTCTCCTCCAGAACCATGTAGCGAAACACTGCCATTGTCTTGACAGTGACCCATCACCCCAATGTCTTTAAGCTCAATTGTCAGTGTTAAGAAGATCAGATGTTTTTAGTGCATTTTATTTATATTTTGATTGTCGTTTTGCTGTTTTAATTGACAGTACTTTAATAGAAGGATGTAATATTCTGCCTGTGTGCAGATGTGTATATACGAGAGCTCACGTCTGTCTTTAGAGCATAACGTTCAAAGCAGCTGCTTCTTCTGTAGAAAGGGCACATGGGAAGTTGAGGAGTAATGCTACTCCACATCATGCACTTTTAATTTACCCTTTTCATTGCCCTCATTTCAGATGTGTCCACTTAAAACATGTTTCCTCCACCCTCGAAGAAGAACCCGAATGGCATTAACCCTGCACTCGAACCCTTTTCCATAACTCTTTCAAAATAAGCGACAGAAATACTTGGCTTGGATTTTTTCCAAACTCTCCGTATCCCCCGGGAATGAATGATCATGTGTAAATGATCTGTAGTGCGTGGAATGATTGAACTGACCTCTTATTTTCGTAAGTCCTGGCAAGGGCTGAGACTGACATTAAAGAGAGCAGACTCCATCCGTTCATTTGCATCTCCTACACTAAAGCAAGGCAGTACCCCACATCTCTGTCTCTGTGTAGCTTCAGTGTTATCAGAGTAGTTGTTGACGTTTCATAGAGAACATTCTGGGAAATTGGGACCACGGGCCAGTTCTAATGTAACACCTTAGCATTTGCACACGGAGATGATAATCCTTACGTCAACCTTTTTGGTGTATCAGTTCTATGTACCCCGTTGTTTGTATGTACTATTTTAATCATCTTAATTATTAGCATTCACAATAAAACTAGGCCAAATGTACAGCACACGTTGTGTCTCATGTTTATGCATCTCTTTGCTCAGGTAGACCGGTGGAGGTGTTTTAGTTGGATTATTGATGGCTTATTGGTTAAATAAGCTCTTTATTTGTAATTTTATTTGTCGTGCAAAAGTTTGAACAATTAGTGTGGTATAAGTCGTTTCACTGTAAAAATGTTAATGAAAATTCATAAATAAAAATTCAAAATGCTGGAGGTGTGCAAATTTAAGAAGACAAAATAGACTTGGTAATTGGTTATTATTAATTACAACAGTGAAATAATAACATTTTAATAATTCATCAAAAAACAAAAGTTTTATTAAAAAGAAGAATTTATCGACTTCAAAATAATATACGCTACCACTCGAGTTTTTATGGTCAGAATGTTTTGTTTTTTTTTATTAAAAATTGTACACATTTTATAAGCAGGGATGCATTAAGATGACAGTTTACGTAAAAAAAAAAAAGATTTATTGCAGAATTGAAACAACTAAAACTCAAACAGCTGTTTTTATAACATTAATAATAGTAAGAAATGTTTTTTTGAGCATCAAATCAGCATATTAGAATGATTTTTGAAGGATCATGTGACACTGAAGACTAGAGCATAGCTACTGAAAATTCAGCTTTGTCATAATAAACTACATTTTTATATATATTAAAATAGAAAACAATTTGTTTCTATTAACTTATTTTAAAAATTAAAAATCATACTGACTCCCAACTTTTGAATGGTAGTGTACGTCTTGCAATTTGTTGAGAAAAAAAACGTGCTCACACACATACAAACAATACGATGTTCATTTAGTAAATTTATCTTTCTTTAAGGGAGTCTTACTAAAAAATAAAGATACCAGATAAAAATACTTTTTTTTTTTTTGCAGTTTACAAGCCTCACCAGAACACTATAAGGCAAGAAAAATACAATTACTTACGTTTTCCTGTTTTTTGCTAAGAACACCATTAATACATGTTCTTGATGTGGCGACATTGCAGTGCATATCATTATGACTGTTATGTTTCAGTTTGCTACTGGCACTTTTTGCTCCTGTAACTCCATAAAAAGAGAATTGTGACCGCTTCATTACTGTGGCAGTAAAAGAGCACCTGTAAGAATGCAGTGTAAGCAGCGGCAGTGTACAGAGTCCAGAGCGTTCAGTCATTCAGTTCTGTGAGAGATGCATTGGATGCATTCAGTGACGGCTCACTCATAGAGGAATTTACTGACAAGTAACTCGTACTGTCAAGATGCTCTCTGGAAAGACCGTCAAACTCATCCTTTATGAGCTTCTGCAGTTCGCATGTCTCTGTATTCCTGTGTTTGTAGTAATGGAGCGCTTTGCTTCTGTCATTCATATTGTGATGTCTAGTGTCACTGCCTACTGGCTGGTGGTGGCGGCCTCGGTGGCCTATGTGGCGTCTGTAACCCTGTTTGTGTGGGTTCCTTTGAAGTACTTCATCCTCAAGACACAGCGCTTCTCAGAAGTGACCAACTGGTGAGTACTAAACCGTTTTCTATGCTGCCACTGTTTTATAAGGGTAGCGGATCCATGAACTCTCATTATTCAACAGTAAAATGTTAGTTTGACTTTTCATATTAGTCTTGCGACTGGTCACTGCAAATGTACACCATTCAGAATCACCTTTTTGCCTTTACTGATTCAATGTAAATCGTTCTATATAACTATAGAAGAACTATGTGAGAAAATACTAAAATATTTTCAGATTAATTAAAGTATGTCTAATTAAATGTCTAGAAATTGAATAATCAACTAACTATAAACACAAGTTGCATTATAAGCCCATTTGATATTGAAACTATGTTTCTTAGTTTGTGATGCTAATTGTGTTCCTCTGCAGGAGACCTGTTACACTTGCATACGTGATCCTCAGCACTTTACCATGCTTTGCTATAATCATAGCCAGCTCAAAGGTAATGCATTATTCCGTCTCACTAGGAAACTACCATTTTTAAAATGTTCTTCACACTAACTTTTAGGGAGCCAAAAGTGGTTCCATGGCATCACTGTGTTGCCTTTTTGTCCTTTTCTTTTAAGAGTGTAGAGGGTTTGAGAGTTGTGTAATGTTATAAGTTTCTGAGATCAACATATTGATTTTATTGGGTTCATTAAAACTGGTGATGGTTTCCTGACACCTAGAGAATAATTTTGAGAATAAACTAAAAAAAGGTTCCTAATGGCACTTCACACTCTTTTAGAACATTTAATTTTGAATATGTATCCATTTGAATGTATATATACCATATACTGATCATTTGTAATCTTACTTTCAGAATAAAGTCCGTAATAAAAACCGTAGGGCTCATCAAGACAGAAACTTTTCGTAAACAGATTCTATCTGAGGTACTCATTAACTCACTGTAGACCAGCAGATTTACTATTAACCCAAAGATGGGGTATTATAGGCTGTGGAATGTGAATAGATCTGTATTACAGCCAACTGTCAATGTATTACCAGTTTTGAAAAGGGTTCTCACGGTTTTTGTCTGGTGAAGATGGGAGTCTTCACATTGGTCCAGTTTAGTAGTTTTAGTGTAGTTTGTTTTCGGTGATACATGCAAAACTGCTTCCATTTTCAGTCTTTCACCTCAGTTTTCTCTTGAGGACGATAAAAGGCTTTTTGCTCATGACTCTTTGTTCTCTCAGCAACCCTCTGGTCTATTTATGGTTGTGTAGGTTCAAGTTGATGCTGGCGTTAAGTGTGACCGCTTTACTGAGCTCCCTGTCTCTCTGGTCTTGTTCTCCCTCATTTGTGTGGACATAGTGGAGAAAATTCGCCCTCTTCGCCTGACGGGACAGGGTAAGAGAAAATGGGCGATAAATTTGTCCAATGAAATGATCTGTCTGTCTAAGTTGTGCTCTATTTTTATCCTCTTTTTAAAAAAGCAAGCGGATTAGAGTTGGATTTTGAGATGCTGAGCCCGGTGTTGACTCACTTGGAGCAGGTGACATCAGTGTCCGGACAGCTGCAGGCTAACGGACGGGACGTCGATGCGTCTCCAAGGTCGCCGGTCAGGAATGGGACACTATCGGGACATTGGAGGGATGCAGATGAAGGCAGCACCTCTCGCACCAGCAGCACAGCATATCTCTACTCCTCTCATTCTTACTCAGGTCCGTTTCACTTTGTCTGGATTCGAGACCCTCGGCATGACCTCTTTGTGGCCACCTTCATGTTTTGGTTTGACACCGTGGAAATGGTGAGGGTGGCCAGGACTGATTCGGTGTATTACTCAGGGTGGGTGTTTCCCATATACATACTGGCTTATCTGTCCATCCTGCGTGTTGTTATAACTCCAGACAGTCCTTTGCTGGCTTCATCAAGTGTTCTCTTCCAAGATTTGCCCTTCCTGGTGGTGCGTATATGCCTGTTGGCTGTTTTCGGTTACGTTACCCCTGTGCTGTACATACTAAAGAACATTTTCACTGCGGTATCTTTCATGTACTTTGTCTTTATGACTAAACTAAAACTGCTGAACAGAGGAAGCATGTTCTGAGGGCATTATGGAAATCCATGCAGATTTACAGCTCATGTATTGTAGATTGTAAATACGTTTTAGGGTTCAGAAGAAATTTGTATATTTCTTGATTTTCATTTTTCAGGTGGCCAAAACGATACACAGACATCTAAATGTTTAGTCATTCTATTCATATTTATTGTAGAATATATTAGTATAA